ATTTTTTAACAGTTCAGCCCTAGCTTTTGTTTTCTTCTTTTTCTTTTTCTTTTTTTTTTTGTTTGTTTTTTTGTTTTCCTCTTTTCCAAAAAAAAATTACCTGATTAAGAAATCATAGTTTACAAATTGAAGTTGAGTTCTTAGGCATCAAATGAAGTGTATCAGCATGGTGAAAGTTCAGAACACAGGCTAAAACTAAAAGACAGCGAACTGAATGGCAAAAGCAATACTCACATTCAATACATCAGATAAAGGGTCAGTATCCATGACATATAAAGTACTCACAAAGCTCAGCAACAATATTTTGCGATTGCTTTTATCTTTTTGTGAGTCCACGAGCGCACACGTGAATTTGGTAACACTGGCCAGGAACGACAACTCTGTTCCCCTGTGCCTTCAGGACCTAAGAAAAATGGTCACTTCCCTGCTTTCCCTGGGTGCACAGGAGAACAATACATTGACTGTTGTACTATTTCCACAATTAGGCAAAGCTAGTCCCTGCCTTTGGTCTGTAAGCCAGAAAGACTCAGGCCCCCTCCCAGAACACTGAGGCCTCCCTTAAACCTCCTCCCTGGTTGCTGTGAAGCTGCTTTCCCTGCCTTCCCTCCTTTCTGTGAGCAGCTGTGAAGCTTTGCTCAGGACGTCCCGTCCCCCACCCCCACGCTCACTCTTTCCTGTGCCCACCATGTGTGTGTGTGAGTGTGTGTGTGTGTGTGTGTGTGTGTGTGTGTGTTTGGGGATGGGAGCGGACAGTCTTAGTAAAAATTGTTTCTCCTGAAAGTTAAGAAAAATTTTCATTTAAGAAGAATTTTTAAATCATCAGTTGAAACCCAGTGTGGGCAGGGAGTGGTCTCAGTGTCTCATTTGGTAGATTTTATATTTGCTTTCGGATCGCATGCGGCGTTTTGTTTTTGGGCTTTCTCCTGGCTCTGTACTCGGGGATCACTCATAGCGGGGCTCAGGAGAGACTATATGGGGTGCTGGGGACAGAACCCGGGTAGGCTGCCTTACTCGCTGTACTGTCTCTCTGGCCCTGTTCGGTAGATTTTACCTCTGTCGTTAATTTTCTGAATTCTCTGTGTCCCCTGCATGCTACAGGGAAACTGTGTCCAGGACTCAGGAACCCCAGGGTAAGTTGAGGACTCTGGATTCTCTCTGAACCTCACCACTGAGTCCCCCCCACCCACACTCTGAGATCCTTGGAGTGACCCCTGTGGCTTATCTGTGGCTTATCAGCATGCTCCAGTCTGAGCTTCGCTCTTTAAGCCCCTGCGAGGGGCCTTGGCCTGACTCGGTGGGTGCAGCCTGGGTTTCTGGGGGTGCCAGTGCATCTTTCCCTGTCCCTGCAGGGGCCTGTGAGCATTTCTCAGGAGCTGCTGCTTGTGGCTGGAGTCCTTTGTTGCTTTGTCTCCATCAGCTTGTCCACCTCAACCCCACCCTACCCTTGCGCATCAGAACCTGGTGCTGCCCACCCAGATCCCATCGGTCTTGCCCCAGGGCAAGCGGACCCATGCATGCAGGAAGCCCAAGTCCAGTCCCCGCCTGCATGGTCTCTGCACCACCCAGGGCGATCACAGAGCCAAGAGCAGCCCCCCGCCCGGGCACAGCTGGGGGAGGGGGGCTGAAGGGCTCACCCATTGGACCTGGGCTGGTCACGCACCTTTCTCAGTGGCCTCTCCCAAGGGGCGCTCTTGGCTACACACGCTCCAGCCCTGCGCAGGTGTGTGCTGAGAACGCACTGCCCTCACCCCCCTGGGGGTTTGGGCAGGGAAAGGACTTACACCTTATACCTGCTTATACCTTACACCTTTCCTCCCAGCTCCGCTGCCTCCTTTCAGACCTGCCTGGTCACGTTCCCGAGCGAGGCCAGCTGTGAGAGTCAACTGGTTCAGGGGGCAGCAATTCGCCTGAGGGTCACAACCACTGGACAGTTATTGTGTGCTGCTGATAATCCTAGACAGTCAGCCTCCCTGTCTCCTGATAAGTGGCCACATGCCCTATGGGAGCAGGATCTGGATCCATGTTTCCGGGAACCTGGAGAGTCTCCTGCTGTGTGATTGGTTTTTTTTTTTTCTCTTTCTGAAAAGGGGGTGGTAGGGCCCAAAACCACTTGGGAGTCTCTGACCTGGGTGAAGGATCTCCTTGCCCTCCCCTGTTCCACTTTGCAGGAAGACATCTTACCAGTCCATGAGGGCCAGTTGTGTCCGTGGAAGACACTTTATGTTTTTTGGTTTGGAGGCCACACCCCACGGTGCTCAGGGCTTTCTCCTGCTCTGTGCTCAGGGATCACTCCTGGCGGTGCTCAGGGGACTGGATTGTATATTGAGGTGCTGGGGATCAAACTCAAGATGGTCATGCACAAGACAAGTGCCCGACCTGCCATACTCTCTCTCCGGCCCAGGGAGACACTAATTAGAAGGCAGCTCCATCCTTCAGGGGAGCAGTCATGGGCCTTGTGGCGGGCACACTTGTCGCCACCCTGTTTTCACAGCGTTATTTGCCAAGTGACAAGATGCTTATTTTGGTCAGACCTTTGGTCCCACAGAACTGGTATCCTCTCCATCCCTCTCCCACCCTCCCATATAGGACATCACACACGTCCCCCACTTGTCCCCCACTTACGTGATGGATACAGCAGCTAGCTGTATCCATCCAGAGCGCCTGTCAGGTTTATATAGTCACTCTTTGCATTGTTTCTGTCACCACGAATCATGGCTGCCTTGTCATCTTAGGTACGTCAACTCTGTTTAGTGTCAGTTTCCATCTCCTGTGTGTAGATTCCATCTGCATTTTGGTCTGATACAGCTCAGTGAGTGCCCGGTGCTGCCGCCCTGAGTGTGCCCACCCTCGCCTGGCCCCAGACCTCCCTCTCCCCTTACTCTGCCCTTCTGTTGTTGGGTGCTCCCACCCAGGGTCCCCTGGGCCACCCCAGTCTCCAGCCTGTGTCCGCATGTCCCCCCCTCACACGTGTGTGCAGTTCAGAAGCATGTAAAGCACATCACATGACCACTCCCTCTCCCTGTCTCATAAAGCAGACGGGCCAGCCTCAGCCTCCCTTGTTCCTGAATAACTCGTGGCTGCACCCAGCAGGCGGCTCGGCCGTGGGCATCCAGGCTGGCTGTGCCACGCTCTCAGCTCACAGGGGCACCCGTGGTTCAGCAGCTCTGGCACTTGGGTTTTTGTCAGCTAATGTTGTTGCCTCTGCATTTCCCACGTTTTCTTGTCACTGTGCCCTTTAGAGATCATTCTTTAAAAAAACACAAAGCGAAAAAGGCTAGTAAACTTCCTTTCTCAACGTGTGAAGCCTTGGGGTTAATGTATGTTGCCAGAGCCCACGTAGAAGCAGAAAATTGGGGTCAGGTGAAAGAGGTCAGTGAATCAGAAAATCACCAACAAACCCTCCAGAATGGAAATATCTGGTTGTTTTTCGTTTCTGTTTTGAGTTTTTGGTTTTGGTGTTGGGGACATACCCGGAAGTGCTCTGGGACTAATTCCAGGTCTGTGCTTGGGGACAACCCCTGTGGGTGCTTGTGGAACCAAGGCAGTGCCAGAGCTCTGACTCAGGCCTGCTCAGCCCTTCCAGCTGTTTCTCTGGCCCGGCTACCCACAGCCCACCCTCCTAGCCCAGGTGAGCCGGCAGATTGCTGAGAAGGGTGAGGATAGCTCTAAACCCGAACAGTCAGCTTGCAACAGCCACGAAAAGTAACCTCCACCAAGGGGCTTCGGGCAGACTCAGGATGTGCAGTGCCACTCAGACCTGCAGGAAACGAGAGGGCTGAAACGGGGACAAGATTTGCAGGAAGCTGTCCCAGAGGATCTTGTCTGAGATTCTGGGCTAGCGCCCTGACATGCTGCCTTGTGCCCCCAGCACCTCGGTGGCTGTGCCCCCCTCCCTCCAGCCCCCATGTTGGTGTGAGGGCATGTCTGGGACCTTAGGAGCTGCCCTGAGGACTGTGGATGAAGCCCATGACCTGGAGCCTGAGGGAAGGGGCATCTCCGAAAAGTCAGAGTCACTTAGCTGGATCATCCCGGGGAGAGAGCCCACCAACCGTCACTCCCACTGCTTCTGGGGAGACTTCAACCAACACCAAGGAATGCCATAGCCACGTAAGCGGGGAAACACTTTGTACCCATCGTGGAGCGTCAGGAGAAGCTTATTTTGGATGAAGAACCCTTTGGTCATGACCCGCTGGTTTTTCTTCCCGTGTGGAATTCTCAGAAGATGGCGCCGGAAGGTTCCCTGACGTGCCATGGACTCTTTAATCCTCACTCTGGTTCTGGGTCCATTTCTTTAAGTCGTTACTTTTCTTGTGGCTCCTTGTCACATCTGGAAATAGAACAGATTCATCTTCCCTCTGTCTCTCATTAAAAGGGATCTTTAAAGGCTCAGAGGCAGCGCCTGCTCTCGAGTCTGCAGGGGCTCTCGGCCACTGTATCTCCGTGTTTGGACGGGGTCAAAGGGAGCCCTCACTAAGTCACTGCAAATGGTGACCTTCAGGGGACTGGGGGCAGGGCATGCTCCATCCAGGTTCAGGAACTAAAGAAGCTTCTGCCCCGGTGATCTTGTTCTTGGATACTGTTTCCCAACAGCGACCCCCACAGTGTGTGCCCTGGTATGTCTGGAGGCAGTCGCAGAGCTTAGAGTCACAGAGTAGAGAAAATTGCCTGGTACCCCCTGGATCTCCCCGAACCCTAATCCAGGAAGGTCAGGGCAAAAGCCCCCCACAGCCTGCCCGCCCCAGTCCTCATTTTTAAAATCCCCTCCCAAGGTCAAGCTGGGCATCCCCACCCCTGCACATCACCCCGGGCAACTGTCTCCCACCTTGTTCGATTGGAAATGGGCCTCTGGGCGTCCGAGAGACCCAGGCAGAAGCAGCAGAATTACGTGACTGGCTCTTGGGCTCCAGGCATGCTTTGGAAGGACCCTCCTTGCCTTGCCCTGCAGGGGGAGGCGGGGAGCTTCGAGTCCCACAGCTCACAGGGTCCTGCTCTCTCCACAGCAAATAAAGCTTGTGTCCGAGAACCTGAAGGAGGACCTGAAGGAGAACCTGAAGGAGGACCTGAAGGAGAACCTGAAGGAGGACCTGGAGGAGGACCTGAAGGAAGATACAGAAGAGGAGATCTGAGGACGGGCCACAGGGCCCTGGCACAGCGTCTCTGCCCTGAGCCAGGCCCCAGGCGGCAGTGCCCGATGCAGTGCCTGGAGGCCACGGATCGGGGCAGAGGAGGGGATAGAACCCTCTCCGGCCTTCCATCTCCCACCATGCTCAGCCGAGCCAACACTTCATCCTTGCTGCCTGACTGCTCCGGGCCCCTTGCCCCCCCACCCCCCACCCACCCATGGAACACACACCCACCCGTTCTCCCCGTTCCCTCCCCCCCCCCCCCCCGCAGCCCTCCTGTGGCCCAGGAAACCGCGGGGTAAGGAGGCAGGTGGCATGCGGCCACTCTGAAGGGGTCCTGCCCACCTCGGGTGAGCTTGAGGCCCTTCCCGACAGCTCCACACCGGCTCCCTCCATTCTGTCTGGCTATAAACTGAGCTATTAAAGGCCACACACGCCTCGCCGACTGGGCTCTGTTCCACACTGAGCTCCACTCTGCTATGGACGCAGAGTCACGATGCGTCGGCGGGCAGTGGGAGGACGGCAGCCCAGGTGGTCCCGGGGGGTCCTGCTGCCAGGAGCCTGTTCCAGGTGGATCCTGCACTGCTGGCCCGGCCCTGTGCCTTGCACCTTTGCTGTGAGCTGCAGAGAAGGGACCCGGCCCTGCCCAGGGGTGCTGCGGGTTACGGTGAGACCCCAAAGGTGCCTATTCACCGCAGTGTGAATGGGATGGGGCAGTGAGGCTGACCCCCAGGGTGCAGCTGTCAAGGCACAAAGCCAGGAGCTCCCAGCTGCTGCCTAGCCAGGGGCTGGTCATGAGGCCCACCCTGAGGGCAGGACATGGCTCCTTCCTCCAGCCAGTGCCTGGTATCTCCACCCCACCTCCCCAGTGTCCACACCGCACTGCCTGGTTTCTGGACTGGGGTGGGGGACACCCACTCTGGACAGCGGAAGGAGTGTCAGTGTCGGGTGTGACTGCCCACAGAGCCACGTGTAATGACTGGCCATGTGCTGAGACGACAAGTGGGGCTGGGAGGGGCCGTGGGGGATGAGGGGGCTGTTCTACAGACCTGTCCTGGGTGTAAAGGGCAGAGCACGTGACCAGCCAGTTGGAGAAGCAAGCTCCCACCGCCAGCTCTGCTCCCCCCAGGGTGCAGGCTCTGAGCTGAACACAGAGATCTCCAGATCTTTCCAGCAGACAGGTGGGAAGCGGCTTGAGCAGGGGGGATCCGGGCAGCGTGGCCTCCCCAGGACACTGAGCTCTGCCACTGTCCTTGGCAGCCTTTGGTGGCTGGGCTTAGAGTCTGGAGAGACAGGTTCTGTGTCTCCTTGTTTATCAGCTCGGCCCCGTTCCTCTGCCTGCCTGCGCCTCACGCCCAGCTCTCAGCAGCGGTGCTTTGAAGTCCATTCCTGCCGTCCCTGCCTCAACTGCTCGTGGACACTGGACATGGCTTCTCTCAGCCAGCTCTCCCTGCCTCTCTCACCTCCACTCTCTCCCTCTCCCTCTCCTTCTTCACCTCCTTATTCAGCTCTCCCTGCCTCTCTCCCCTTCTCTCTCCCTTCTCTCTCTCTCTCCCTTTCCCTTTCCCCTCCTCCCCTTCCCCGACCCTACCTCCTCCGCTCTCAGACACACACATGCAAGGCAACTGTTCTACTGCTCAGCCCCAGCCCTTGGTATTAGATATTTTGTGTGCTTGGGGACCCACCCATCTTATTCAGGCTTTAAGGAGAGACAAGAGTGGTTCCAGATCCCCATCCCTAGTGCAGAATGGCAACCGGGAACCCCTTGCCCCCCGCCCCCTTTCATAGACCCTCAAGTAGAAGTGTCCCACCCAGTGTGCCAAGGCGTCAGATGAGGGAAGCCCAGCACAGAGGCTTCTGGCGACTACCCCGGGCTCTGAGAGCAGCAGGCCTGGGACAGGATACCAGTAGCATGGCCAGCATCTCCCTGGCCCGGGGAAGGGACTCCAGGCTCCCTGGCCGATTGGTGTTAGCCTCACGGAATTAAGGAAAAAGAGGGAATGATCATCTCCCTGGAGCAGGTGGCCCAGGTCAGAGAGGGCAGAGCCAGGCCAGAACAGGTCTGCCGCTCCCTCCCCGGTCCCTGGCTCAAGCCAGCGAGCAAGGGCTGCGGAGGCTGCACCGGAACAGCAGTGAAAAGTGCTGCCCAGCACGAGACACCCACGGCAGAGCTGAGCTGTGGAAGGCTTAGAGCTGTACACCAGCCTCCCTTTCCTGCAGCTGTCCTACTCGAACAGGGGCACTCAGGTGTGCTCCCCTCTAGTGGAAACTGAAGAACCATTTAAAGTGGCCCCTGTCCCCCTCTGCCCTCCCAGGCTGAAAACTGGCACGGGCTTTAGAGGGGAGGCAGGCAGCCCAGTAAAGATGAGGGGTATGAAGACAGCGCTCAGGGCCTGCCATGGTGCCCTCGGCAAGCACCCTGCCACAGCGGGTGCTCCCCAAGTACAAATGGCCCCACAGCCCCTGACTTTTGGGGCCCCAGAAAAGGAGGGGATCAGGTAAGGATTTGCATCAAGAATGCATCAACCCAACAGCTCAGGCAACTGGCCACCTAAACTGTGTGTCTAGGTTTTGCTACTCTTCCTCTGAGTGTCCAGATGGCTACCAGGCCACAGGCATTGTGGGGGCCAACAAGCACTTTTTTTCTCAGTCCCCATTTCCGCCAGACAGTGGGTCTCAAGGCGAGGCAACCCGGCCCAGGGAGGCTTGAGCACAGAGGAGAGTAATCTTTGGGAACTATTCAGAGACCAGGTCTCAGCCCCAGGATCCTCTCAGCATGAGAAAGTGAGCTCCAACCCCTGGTCTCAGCTTCTTGTCTGCAGTGCCTGAAGTTACACAGTGGAATTTATACAATGCAAGTACACATGTAAGAGATCTGGCACGGCAAATCTTGTCTAAAGAGAAAGAGCCCCTATAATAGCTGAGCAATAGCTAAGCGATGCTCGGAGCTTATACAAAGCTGGGAATAGGTCACGTTCCCGGCGGCCTGAGAGAGAAAACCCGCAGAGTGCTTTGAAGAGTGTTTATTGCCTCAGCAGAGGGTCAAATCAGCCCTAAAGACTGCTCTGAATCATTCTCACACTTGAAAGGCAAAAAGGATCCAACTGATTCCAAGTAACTATGTTAAAGCAAAATCCAAAGCTTTTTATAGGAATACAAAAATTCAGCACTCAACAATGTAAAAATCTGTGTCCAGCAGTGAAATAAAAAAACTGTCAACCTAGAATTCTGTACCCAATTAAAATAATTTCATGGAAAAAATTAACATGATTTTTCAGACTCACAAAAGATAACAGAACATATTGTAAGCAGACCTGCACTCTTAATAAATGTTCAAGGAAGTTCTACAAGCAGCAGGGAAATACCAAAATGTGGACTGGATCCACACAAAGGAAGAGCACTGGAAATGCTATAATGTAGGTAAAATAAAAGGTTTCTCCTTATATTTAGATTATCAAAAAACTTCAAAACAAATTTGTACATACGTAAAAACAAAATGACAATAGCACAATGAACAGAAGTAAAAATGGATCTATACAATTATAAGGTTTTTTACATTCTACATGAATATTTTTAAGTAGACTGATAAATATATACATGTGTAAATTGTAAAAATTAAAAGTGATATTTATTATAAAACAACCACTACACTATAAAAGAGGTACAGTCAGTAAGCCAATAAACAGGATAAAATGGAATTATAAGGTGTTTGGTTAAACCAAAAGAAGGTCATAAAGAAGGGAAAGAGAAACAACAGATGAGACCAGTAGAAGATGGGATTCGGACTCTGCCAGGGAGCAGGTGAGCAAGCTTGGAGGGCTGACTTCATGCTTTGCATGCAGGAGGCCTGGGTTCAATCCGTGGCATAGTATAGTCCCCAAACACCACTGGTAATGACCCCTTACACCACCAGGTGGGGGTGCTAGAAAGATGGTACAGAGATTAACACATCGATACCAGCACTGCATGTGATGTGTTAATTAAACCATATTCAAGTGTAAGTCATGGGTGGTCCGTGCTGGCATCAATGTGTTAAGGCACTTGCATGTGGTCAACCCTAGTTTGATCTTTGGCCCCACATATGGTCCCCTAAGCACCACCAGGTGTGACCCCAAAGCAGGGAGTAAGGAGTAAGCCCTGAGCACTGCCAGGTGTGGCCCCCAAACCAGAAGAAAATTAAAAACAGAAGTGAACCATGTTGAAAATTACACTAAAAGTAATTGGTCTAAACTTCAAGTAAAAGGCAAAGATTTGCAGATTTTATATATATATATATATATACTGCCTACTTAAAAAAAAACACAAAAGCCCCTACTTTAAATATAACTACAGGCTAAATGCAAAATGAGTGGAAAAAAGACTCCCACAAGCCAAAGAAGTCGGTGGTCCTATCACTTCACACAAAGTAGATTTCAGGACAAAGAATAACATGAAGGATAGAGAACAATTTCATAATGATGAAAGGGATCAATTTCTCAAGAGAACCTAACAATCCTAAATATGCAAGTACCTAACAGTATGAAATCAAATGCAATGGCTTAAAAGTAGGCAAGCCTACTAGAATAGCTAGATTTCAACACTCCTCTCTCAGTAATTGATCAAAGTGAGAAAACCAGTAACCTCAAAAGCATTCACAACAAAAAAAATATTCAAGACAGGTCACTCTCTAGCCAACAAAGCATTCAAGTGAGGTTAAGAACAATTTAAACAATGCAGAATTTGTCACCGAAAGAAACTAAAAGATACTAACAGAAACTGATGCAGAAACCCATGAGTATTTGAATATGAAAACAAACCATGATTTAGAGCTGTGTGGAGAAAGTGCGGGAATAGGTGTGCCAGCGCACGGCTGACTCTCATGACGTTACCAGTGGTCCAGGTGACAGTGATGGTGTCATGGACCAATATTAAAAAAGGGGTCAGCTTTCAAACGGTGAGATTTGCCAGTGGAATGTTAGGATGAAAGCAGAATGGCGCCAAGATACTTAGTTCGGAGATCCCATCTCCGAGATGAGAACCTCCTCTAGGAGCTGGAGGACTGAGACTGAGACAAGCAAACACAGATGCTCATCACACACCTCCAAGCCAAGAAGTAAAATAGGCAGTTGCAGAGTCTGGAGTTCCTGGATGACACAGGTTAAATATGTTTTGTGGTTCTGTCTGCAAATTTAGATGAGATGGAACGGGATTATTAAGAAACCCAAGTGCAGACAGGGATCCAGAATGGCCCTTTGGGCATTCCAAGAAGTTATAAGAGACTGCTACTAATCTTCAGATCAGCAAGGTGGAAGTCGGGCCCAGAACAATGGGAATTTTACAAGAGTGATCAATTTGTCAAATGCCACACAGGACTGAAATTGGCCATGGGATTAGTTTGCCTGGCTGGGGCTGGGGTGAGGATTGGGAGGCAGGAGCACAGAGGGTGAGGCTCAGATGGGGAACTGAGTTGAAAAAGGGAGAACGTGTTAGTGGGTCTGAGCTCTTTCTGGAATGATGAAAACTGATCAGGGGAATAACCACACAACTGAGAATATACTAAGAACAATGAACACTTTAAATTGGCAAACTGTGCAATTTTATCTCAAAGTTGTGTTTGTTTTTTTTTTTAAAAAAAAACCTGATCACTGGGTTTAGCATATGCTGATGCTGCTTCGGTTGGAGTTATAGCTCCAAGGGCCTGCTGGGAAGGGTTCAAGAGAAAGTAGAGAAGAACAGAGAACTGTGGCCACAGTTCAGACAACGCACAAGAGCATGTTTTTAAAACAGGGAAAGAAAATGTTTTGTATTAGGAACAAATGTTTTGTATTAGGAACAATCTGGTAGAAAAGCAAAGGCTGATGATGGAAAAAGAGACTGACCCGAGTTAGATGCCCGGGGTGTAGTGGAAATGAAGGATCCGCTGGGGGCATCACACCGCCAGAAGGAAGGGCAGAGCAGCTGGCTACCCATGGAGGCAGGAAAGCAGACAGGTGGGGTTCTGACAGTTCTTGCTTCACTGGCAACTATGACGCTGCATGGTGAACCGCTGAAGGAGAAAACCTAAGGAAGCTGTGAAACAAAGTACAAGACTGGCCAGGCCTGCAGCCTGCCTGAGACTGGGGGCCGGGAGTCTACAGCACGTTCTATTTTTGCAGTTCCTGCTGGTGGTGCAGGTGCACTGCGTGTGTGAACATGGGTCTAAGCCAGGCAAGGGACACAGAAAGCTGCATTCATGAGAAGAAATACAACATTGAACACAGTTTATATTGCTGAACACCAATATGTTCTTTATTATTTGGATTTTTTTTCCCATTTGTCGCATACCTGTCAATGTTTACACATGAGGAAAATCAACCAACAGTGGAAGCAACTGAACCAAATCAGCTGGTAATTCTGTACCCTCTTAACATATATGATTCTTACTTGGTAGGGATAGCTTAAATCTGATTCAGTCTCAGGCTACTCTTAAAATTGGTGTCAAGATTGTCACATCTTTAAATACAGATAGAACTGCCAGAAGTACATAATTATATATATATATATATTTCATATATATATACACACATGTATATGTATATATATATACACACATACAGAAAAATACAAGACTAATTGTTTTCCCACAATATTTAATTTACACACTACTGTAACTATATGCAACTTCTGAAGACAGGTTAAGGGGTACAAGAAACTGTTTAGAGCAAGTAAGTAGTTTGGTCCAATATTATCTTAATGTAATGGTTATTTGCTCCCTCCCTTTTAAGTGACAACATACTATGACATACAACACATGCACAATCATTCACTTAATGAACAAATGAGTAAGACGCCACTCAGACTAACATCTGTATTCCCAGAGGGTCAACCAACCACACACAACTAATAAGGCTATAATACAGCTATGCAGCATAAATGGTCAACACTGCTGATCCTAAAGTGAGCACCATATATACATCTGAATATAAAAAACTGAATTTGAAAACCAAACACATATGGGTTAGTTAAAAGGTGCCATTCCAAGGCTATACATAATCACAGGAAAAAGTATTTACATTGCTTGGAAAACAGCTGCAACAAAGAGTTTATTGCCAATGCCCTTTATAAACTTCTCTCCTACGGTTAATACAGATGTTACGCTCACTATCTACGTGAACCACACATCTTATTTCTGGCCCTTTATAAGATCCCTGCTCAAGAATTTCAAGCAAAATATGTTCTATGGCTTCACCCACACATCTATTCTCATAGCTTTCAGATATAAGTATCACAATGAACTAGAGCTGTAGCTTAAAACATATCTAGCTTAGGTCTAGAAAGTAAAATAAGTATCATCTCCACTTAGTTTTTTGAATCAAGTATACTGTGAAGTTCAGAATTCTGAGTAAAATACATGAATCCTAAAAGTAGCAGAGTCTGTTACTTGGAGAGACCGTGCCCAGTGGAATGCTGCCCTTTGGTGCTCTGCCCACTCGGAAAACCAGGTGCCTGGTCACTTCAGAGGCTAAAGGGAGACCGAGGTGTCTGGGAAGGCCTCCGTAGCTCAGCCATGATGCTAGACTCCCCAGGCATGACACGGAAAACATTGGCTTCCAAAATCAGCAATCTGCAATAGACTATGTCTTGGGGGGGGGGGGGGGATAAAAAACCACAAAAGAAGATTATCTGGTCAAAAAGTAGTCTTTGTACAGGAATCATTTAAAGCAAGAGTTCTTTGATTATTGTTTTGGCAGGAAGGCAAAGTGAAAAAGACTTCCAGCAAAAAACAAACGTAGAAAAAAACAATACACACACAAAAACAAAAAGACTGTGGATTTTTGTTTGCTTGCAGGTGTGAATTTTCTCCTTTTATGTATTTTTTGTGTTTTTCTGTTGTTGTTGATCTGCCCACTTTCACAGTTAGCACTGTCTAGCACTGTCCTCCCGTTGGTCATCGATTTGCTCAAGCGGGCACCAGTAACGTCTCACAACACATTGTGAGACTTGTGGTTACTGTTTTTTGGCATATCAAATACGCCACAGGGAGCTTGCCAGGCTCTGCCATGCGGGCAAGATACTCTCGGTAGCTTGCCGGGCTCTCCGAGAGGGGCGGAGGTCTCCACGGCAGATCCCAAGCTGCAGGGACCCAGGAGCACCTCCGCCCCAGAGCGGCCGCTTCCGAGCCGGTCCCGGGTCTTGAACATTCACAGTTAACTGCATGAAAAAAGAAATGACAAAAGAGACAACAGCTGAAAGTCAAACCCCACTAATTTTCACCTAACCTTGGGGATTCTGACTTGGCCAAATTCTGTGTGCAACTCCAGTTCTATCTTCAGCCCAAGAGTGTCTTCTCTTTGCAGAGTTTTGCGGGGAGACACCCGCCACTCCCCTGGCACGGTGGGACCTACAGGAAGGCATCACCACTGCACTCATCTTTCCGTTTTGTTACATAGACACATACTCTAGGAGCAGAGTTAAGACACTGTCGTCAGTTCACTGCATCACATTACAGAAGATTGTCTGCTTGGAACAGATCACTACTGGGGAAGCTGCCTTACACGTCTAAATCTCACCTACTACAAAACAAGATGAACTTTTTTTTTTTCAATTAAACTGCAAGAGCCCCAACTTTGCTCCCCGCCATAGCATTAAGACACACAGGTGTGGGGATGCCACGATCATGGTTAAGGTTCTCAGTGCAGACAGACACCTGCTGAACTCTGCACTGCAGGCAGTGGAGAGCTGGCTGGAGGCGCTCCAGGCTCCCAGCACTCTCGGCATCACAACATTATTGCTTTGGTTCGGTCTTGAGCCGCACACAGTGTGCCTCTAAGCACACAGCTTCCATATCACAGAAGGTTGGGATGGGAATTTAGATTTTTTTTCCCAAAAAAAAAAAAGTTTTCTATTTGTGTGTGTCTTGTTTTCCCCACTCCCCACCTCCACCCCCGATCCCCCACCACCCTTGCTCTAGGTTAAGTGCAGGACATCAAATTTCTAAGTGCTCCATTTCTGTTGGGTTCCAAATTGATATTTTAATTGAATCCTGATCAGCCACATGGAAACTATGAATGTAAGAATGACACAATAGACCTTTCTCGGCTGGAAAAACGAAACAGAAACAAAACAAAACAAAAACAAAACAACAACAACAACAAAAAAAAAGTGGAGTCTAGCAGCATGCACAAAGACCATGCATGGTCACATCGTCAGGCGAACGAATGACAACGAAATAAATAATTGCTCCTAACGCGCCCACTTGACGGCGGCAAAACCCAGAACGGAGCAGCGCAGTGAGCCAGGCCTCTCGGCTGGGAGCAGAAAGTGTGCGGGGGGAGGGCAGGATGGGGGCCAGGGTCAGATGACGTGGCAGCAGCTGGCCGGGCTGGAGGCGCACAGCAGTCCCTCTTTGGGGTTCCGCTGGATGTTCACAGAGATGGTCTTTTCGCACAGAGGTAGCTGCAGCACGTTATTTTTCAGGTTCCTGCTCTTGAGCCGCTCTAGCTCGGTGGCGGCGGTGCTGGCCACGTGGTCAGAGAAGAACTTGACGCGGCCCACGGCGGCGGCAGGGGCCTGCCCGGGGCCCCCCGCCGAGCTGATGCACATTTTCCAGGTGGACTTCTCCTGGACCTTCACGCTGGAAAACGACAGGCCATTCTGGGGGTCGAGGATGTACTTGGTGCCCCCATGCAGCTGGGAGCCCAGGCACAGGCTCATGAGTTTGAGGCTCTGCACCAGCTCCCCGGCGCTGCGCGAGGCCAGCTGCATGGAGTTGGGGGGCCCGGCACAGCGGCGCGTGGTGCCCGACGTGCCCGTGGGGTTGCCGCCCGAGCCGCTGGAGGGGCTGCCCCCACCCGCGTTGTTCTCACTGGGGCTGGCCTTGTCCGCCCCAGCGCTGCTATTGCCCGGCTTGCTCTGGCCCCCGCCGTCGCCCTCGCTGCCCGGCGGCCCCTCGCTGCTGTCCCGGCGGTGCCAGGAATAGGTGAAGCCGCCGTCCTTGTCGAGCCGCCGGCGGCTCTCGGAGTCGTCGTCGCTGGTCTCGGAGCTGCTGCAGCTGGAGCCCCGGCCCTGGCTTTTCCGCCGGTGGTAGCGCTTGTGCACGGTGCCCGGCGAGGCGATGTTCATCTTCAAGCGGCTCAGCTTGGGCGGCAGGTTCTCATCCATGTCGAACTCGTCGTCCGACTCCCCCTCCTCGAAGATCTGGTTGAGGACGGGCGCACTCTTCCTCGACGTCAGGCGGTTGGTCACCGAGGGCTTCCGGCGTAGCACCACCTGCGTGGACAAGGACACGGGCTTCTTGTCCTCCTCATCCTCCTCCTCGTCTTCCTCCACGCGGAAAAGACACTTCCGGCCACTGGCCGCCGGCTTCAGACTTGCCGCGGGCACCATGGCGAGCGCGGGCCCTGCCAGCTCGGGGAGCTCGTCCTTCTTGGCCGACTCACACAGGCCTTTGCTTCTGTGACCGTTGAGAACATTGTCCGCCGCCCGAGCGGGAGACTGAGGGACGGTCGTGTGGGACAGAGGAGTGGCCGTGAGGTCATCCTCCAGGTCCTGGGGTACATCGATTTTGGTTGGCCACGACTGCCTACAGAACATATTGGAAAAACAAAAACCATGTAAGAACATGCAGAGTTCAGTGCAGTAGATTAGATAAGAACTTACAAGGTCACGCTTCAGAGACTTAAAAAGAAAAATCAGGGGGAAAGAGCTCCCACCGCCGCCTCGCAAGCCCAACTCAACATCCTGTCAGCAGCAAGCAAGGGCTGGCGGGCTTGAGGGTTCTACAGTATGGCACAGGCTTGACTGGCTGGCCACAGAGCTCAGCTGTTGGGAGGGGCACAAGAGCAACTTGGTCTTCCCGCAGCCAAGTCTTACACCACAAGAAACACACACGGGTAAGAGCTGCACTGTGTGCAAACAAGTATGCTTTTTAAACGCCCAGTTAAAAGTACTGGGCAGTGAAATCCTTTAGCCTGTAAAGTTTGATGTTATTCCCCAATCTGGAATCACCTAGTAGGCAATGAGAGCTCTTATTGGGGGGACCAAAGGACAAGCTGGGAGATGAGGCCTTCAGTCCTGCCGTGAATGGCCATCTTAGAATCCACCATTGTCCCTTCCGCCCAGGGGACAGTGGGTGCCTGGGGCATTTAACACAGCCACTTTCCCACGATGAGGGTTTCATTTCACACCGCTTATGCTGCCCTGGAAATAAAATCCAATTAAAGCTCTGGCCCAGCGAGCTCAGACATTCCCCATAGCTATCTCCCTGCTTGCCCACCACCTGAGCCTCTCTCTAAGGGCCGGGGTGGGGGGGGGGGGGGTCCCTATATCCCAGCCCCTGCTCTGCAGGCCATCCAAGTGCAGTGTTCAGTAGTGCTCCTGACCAGGCATCTGTCTTCCACCACCATGAATGGCCTCTCCAGAGTCACCTCCTGCCCTGGAGAGCTGCACCCCTTTCCCTGGCAGGCAGCTCCTGAAAGAGTGGAACCTCAGTGGGCCTGAAAGCAGGGGCAGCCCTGGAGGGTATGTGTGTGTGCTGCTGTTGGGACTGGGGGCCAGCCACTGGAGGGCCAGGAGGGGCACAGAGCACCGAGGCACCCCTAGGCCCCAGGAGCCAGGCAGGCCGTTGCCACCATCCAGCCTCTGATCAACAGCTCTCACTCCCATGAGTCAAATGGCTCGACTGTCACTTCCTGGAAACCTCACCCCTGTGAGCAAAGAGAGGAGTGCCAGCGCCCATTGTTCCGCTACTCCCCGAGCATTTCTGTCGCTGGAAAGCCTCACAGGCACCCAGTCTTACCATGCCCCATGATGCCCTCCGGAAGGTGCTACAGCGGCCCCCTTCCCAGACGACGGGATCCATGTGTTGGCGGGGCTGGGTCACTCTGGCCTGAGCACGGGGAGCCCTGGGTTGGTTCTGGTGCGTTCCAGGGTCCAGGGCAGGGTTTCCCACCAGGGCCTGGAGAGCCCCCGAATGGGTGCCCAGGCAACAACCTGGCCTCAGTGGTTGGCCTCTCTGCCAAGATTCTGACATGGGCAGGTGTACGCACGCTCTTCAGGGGCCCCGCCAGCCTGCTCTGACAGGGAGGGAGACCCCTCCACGTCTCCACCCCGGGGCCTGTGCCTCCTGCCACAGCACCGAGGTTCCTGCTCGCTGGCACAATGACCCCCCAGGCTCGCCCACGCTGGGGAGCAAGTCCAGCAACCATAAGGACAAGGCTGAGGCACGGGAGCAGACAGCCAGCACCTGCCAAAGGGCTTTGAGGACCCCAACCAGGAAAGTGCTGCCTGAAGGGTGGGCTTCCTCTCCTCACAAAGCCCCATGCCCCCCACAAACAGCAGACCCCATGCCCAGCCATCCTCTCTCAGGGCCTACTGAAGTCCACAAAGCTCATCTTCTAATTAAACCAGACTTCTAAGTCTGTTTCTTGGCCAACCATGTTTTTTCTTGCTTGTCACTTTCGCCCAAGCAACAACTTATACATTGCAACCCGAGGAACTTAGACTCAATTCTTTTCCTTTTAAATAACAAATACATATTCATACTCATCTATTCACATCTACTGGACTGTACGAGTAGATATTCCGATTGAAGAGCATCTGTTCTTTAATCACTATAACTGCCATGCATTACCGTATCTGATGGGTAACGATCAATTCTAAACAAATTTCATGCTGTGGGAAGCAACCCTTCATTTGCTCTGACTTTAAATGGAAAATATGGCAGAAGAAAAAAAAAATTAGAAGGTGGGGGAGGGGAGGCAGGGAGGGGCAGGGAGGGGCAAGGGGAGAATACTCATTATTTCAGTTATGGTGAGAGTCACAATAGTGCCACCGGACCCATGGAGCCCAACTGTAAGTACTCAACGTAGATCGAGGCGTTCCTGCCTCACCCCAACCCCAGAAGCACTCTTCTTAATCTTCCCATTTCCCACATCAGAGTCCCCGGTGAGGTTCAGTAACTACCTAAGGTCAAGCAACCAATAAATCAAACTAGCTTATTTGACCATCACACTAAGACCATAGGATGATCTCCCTTACCCAAAAAAACAATGCTATGTGTGCTTTTAAAAATTCTTTCAAGGGGCTGGAGTGATAGCACAGTGGGTAGGGTGTTTGCCTTGCACGTGGCCAACCCAGGTTCGATTCCCAGCATCCCATATGGTCCCCAGAGCACCGCTGGGAGTAATTCCTGAGTGCACGAGCCAGGAGTAACCCCTGTGCATCGCCAGTTGTGACCCAAAAAGAAAGAAAAAAAAATTATTTCGAGTAACAGAGCAAACATGAGCTTGTTCCTGTGTCAATGAAAATTAATACTTTAGTTTATGGAAGAGTGTAATGAAAATAATTGGCTGGCTGAAGGCTGCTCCTCCAAACAGCTGCAGGACCTCTCCTACCAGCCTGGGAGGGGAAGGCATCTTTGTTGCCAAGGAACCAGGACCCACATGCAGAGGAGCAAGGCCTCCCCGAGGGGGGGTAGCTGGGGGAGGGGGGGGCTTGTCACATGCACCCTCTCACCCACAAACTGAGGGCATGGGGGGATAGGAGGGGGTGCAGGGGGAGAGTTCACTATTGCAAAACGATAACTTACTAAAATCAGTGAAGAGTTTTTTTTCTCACCTAAACTGGGCCTTGATATTGCTTGGGCTTGCAGATCTGGTTTGTATTTCTTTTTCTTGCTTTTCCCTCAGGATCCTTTCAGCAAGCAAGAAGTAAGTGGCTGTGATGTGGTTATACCTGTTTGTCTCCAGGGCTCTGAGAAAAACAAGGAGAGTGAAAATAGCCACGTTAGCAACATTATTTTTTACATGAAACACACACACATACGCGCACACACACACACACACACAAAAGACAGTAAATCAAAAATCCATTCACTTGAAATGTTTTAAATATATATATATATATATATATATATATATATATATGTAAAGACAACCCTAGTAATTACATAAAACACCCCAAACTGCCGCCAGCAACTGAGCTGGTGGTCAGTATCAGGTGTGCTAGGAAGAGGTGACAAAGCCTCTAAGCATGTACATACCACCCAAAACTTTAATGTGCGCCAAAGCATTTACCTTTGTTAGGCCAGTTACATGCTTCTGTTAGAAATACTAAAGCAAGAGTCAAGAGGGGTGGCACGGGAGCTGTGGGCCAGAAGTCTCGCCAGCCAATAGTCCTGGGTTTAAATCCCTGGTGTTCCACATGCACAAAGCGTGAGTCTGAAATGATCCTGACAGCTTTGCTGTAATTTCGAATGCCACAAATGATTCCCAGACACACTGTACGGGTGTGTGTGTGTGTGTGTGTGTGTGTGTGTGTGTGTGTGTGTGTGTAAGCACCAAATAAAGGGATATAGCCCCTAGCTAGCACAACTAAAATGATGTGTGTGCAAGAAGACTGGTGTGTGCCACTGAAGGGCATTCCAACATCAGCAGCACCGCAGGGAAGCGTGGCGGGGGTGGGGGTGGCAGGGGGCGAATCAGAGCCCAAAGTGGGTTGCAGGGGTGGAACGACTTCTTAGCCCAAAACTCTCTGAGTACAAGAGGCTGGTGCTGAGGAGACCAGCAATCATGTAGTGTTAACTCAGCCGTCACCCAGAATCAACCGCGGGATGTGACCCCAGAGGTGGGAAGAACAGACTAGTCCTCGCAGCTTCCGCTTCCCAGGGGCACGTGGCCTCACCCCCACACTTCAGATCACCCTCCTTTGGTGTTCCTGAACCACGACACGTGCTTCATTTAAGACCACCAAGCCAGTCAGCTCGGGAGGCTACAAACAGCCTTTTTCATGTATGAAAGAATGAAAAGCAAAATTCAACGCACTCCTGCAGGGTGCGCCTGCCTCTTCCAGCTTGCCGAAGTAGGAAGGAGCTGGAAGTCAATCCACGAAAACTCACCACACACCCACGGAACCTGCATTATGTGGCCAAGCTCCCCGGGTACTGAAAGCACCTAGACCCAGGCACCCCCTTCCCAGGAGCCCGGCCCTCCTGTGAGTGGACAGCAGGCTGCAGGGGCTGGAGCGCTGGGTCCCAGAGGCCCATCCTGTTTTAAGTCTGGATACTGCCCGGTTCTCTCTGCTCCCTGTGAAGTCCCAGGGGGAAACTCAGGAAGGAAGAACATGGCTGTGGACAAGGGAGGCATGAATTGGGATACGACACAAGCCTCTCCAATCCCCCTCTGCCCAGGGGGGTGGGGGGGGGGGCGTGGGGGGGGACAAAGATCAGGGCATGGACAGCATTCAGCACCAGCTGACCCAGGGGCCAGGCAAAGGGCTGGGACTTGTAAGCAGCAGATTGGATCACCCACTGTTGACTGTGCATCTGTTACGGTGCCCAGGGGCCCCGACTCTGACCAAGGCAACCCCATTCTGAGAGTCACAAACCAAAGGGCTGACATACTCGACGATGGCGTCCCGGTCGGCTATATCCCCGAGCACCATGCGCTGAATGATGCTGTTGTGCTCCTCCTCCGAGAGGTTCTTGTACGACACCAGCGGGATATTATACTTGGTGGCAGGCGAAGGGTCCACGCCCTGGAGCCAAGCGTGGTTTTCAATCTCTTCTAAGGAGGCTCTTCTCTTGGGATCTCTCTGCAACATCCGAGTGATCAAGCTGGAAAGCAGGCAAGGCCACTGTTACAGCACATCCGCTGGCGAGGGGGAGTAACGGGGGGCCCATCAAACCTGTTTCCTACTCTCACACCGTCACGGTCACTGTCCTCCCATTGTTCATCGATTTGCTCGAGCGGGCTCAGTTAACACTGTGAGACTTGTTACTGTGTTTGGCATATTGAATATGTCATGGGTAGCTTGCTAGGCTTTGCCATGCAGGTGAGATACTCTTGGTAGCTTGCCGGACTCTCCGAGAATTTGCCTTGGATGCAGTCGACATGGTCGACATGGCCAACTGGAGTTCGATCCTTCCGCCCCTCACACCGTCATTTTACATTATGTTCACGGGTAGTGAGGGGGAGCTGGCGGAAAAATAAAGAACATCTAGGGGCTGGAGCGATAGCAAAGCGAGTAGGACATTTGCCTTGCACGTGACGCCCCGGGTTTGATTCCCAGCATCCCAGATGGTCCCCGAACACCGCCAGGGATAATTCCTGAGTGCAGAGCCTGAAGTAAACCCTGTGGCACTGCCGGGTGTGACACCCCACCCCATCAAAAAAAAATATAGTGCCATGAGATTCAGAATTTAAAAAATATCACATCTTCTGGGGCCAAAGCAATATTATTGTACAGTGGGTAGGAAACCTGCCATGCATATGGCTGATCAGGGTTTGATCCCCAGCACCCCATGTAATCCTCCTGAGCAGTGCAGGAAAGATCCCTGATTACAGAGGCGTTAAGCCCTGAGCACCACCAAGCTGAGGAAACAAAAAAAACCCAAACCTATAAAAACAGAAATCTTAGGTCGTGCATGACAAAGATGGAATAATGGTTTCTGTTTGATTCTGAAGGCTCCAACGAGTACATGAAACGAAGTATAACATGCAGGGGGCCCCCTTAAGATAGAAGCACAACATGACCCGCTACAGACCTGAAGCCTTAACTCAGTGGGACACTCTGCCTGCTTCCCCTTGGCGGCTCGGTGACCACCATTCTCCAGACTCCTTTGGACAGTCAGGTTTGGGCCCACAGTGACGAGACACGCAGGGCCTCATGGGATGGGGGTGGAGCCGGCCCTTTCCTCCCTGCCACAACAAGAGCCGAGTCACCACCCACAAATGGCCTCTCTGGCTCCTGATCAAGCTGCTTAAAGGCCATGATACCAGAGACATGGATCAGAAACAAATCTCAGAACCCAGCAGGTTTTGGCAGAAATCCCTCCAGATTTAATTGTTAAAATTTTGGAATTCCAAAATCGCGCAGCCACTACTGCAGCCTTGCAACCACTACTGCGGCCTTGCGACCACTACTGCAGCCGCATGACATCATATGTTATTCACAATCATCGATAGAAAACAAATTGTCTACTGTTGCCCTTTTGGCAGATCTGATGTTGGGGTAAAATCCCAAATAATAATGGTGGGTGTGGTGTCGAAATATTGAATGTAATAAAGGTAGAGAGAGAGTAATGTGGAAATCATCTGCCCCACAGGTAGGGGGAGGGTATGGGATAGGGGTATACTGGGGGTTTCGGTGGTGGAAAATGGGCACTGCTGAAGGGACAGGTGTTTCATCATTGTATGACCAAGACTTAAACCCGAAAGCTTTGTAACGGCTCTCACGGTGATTCAATAAATAAATTTATAAAAAAGAAGAAAAAGAAAAAGTAAGGTGGTCATGCCCAATTCAATCAGCCTAATCAATGGCTGAATAAATAGCAATACTCAAAAAAAAAAAAACTTCAGTGGGACAGAGTCTGAAGAATAAATCTATTGGTAAGAAGGAAGCCTGCTTGCTTCAGCACTGGCTGACAGGTGAGGCTGGAGGACTGCTTCTAAGAGCTTCCAACTCATACAGGCTAATGGTACAAATGAATGCTATATGCATGAAGTTTATAGCAAGGGAGTTAATTCAAGGCAGCCTAAGACCAAATATGCTCCCCGGAAACTAACAGAACAGTAAAGGCATACCCTCTCTACAAAAACGAACATAAAGAACGCCCCACATATTACCCAGAATATGAATTTATAATGACAACACACAAAGGAAACAAGGTAACAACAACAAGAACTAAGAAGTATGGCTGAAAAATTGAAATATAAGAAGTATTGGCACTTTCAGACACCCATGTGTTAAATATGTCTGAAACATGAAGAAGCTGGAAAATATCAGGAAGACTTCAAAAAGTGAAAAGTAACTATTTTACTTTTTTACCTGGTGTGGGTGGGGTGGGGTAGGGCACACACCTGACAGTGTTCAGGGGCTACTCAAGGCTTGGTGCTCAGAGGACCGTGCAGAGCCAGGAAACAAAACTGGGCCTCATGCATGCAGAGGCTTGGCTCCAGCCAGCTGAGCTACCACTCTGGCTTGAAAAATAACTTTTACTTTTTTAAAAATTTAATCCGTGAACTCTTAAAACTAGAGTGAATTTATGAACTGGAAGACAGAGTCAAGGAAATAATCCAGATCAGTAGAGTAAGAGACAGAAAATAAGAAAGAAGAGCCAGAGAGATAGTACAGAGGGCAAAGCACTTGCCTCACACACATCCGACTGTAGTTCAATCTCTGGTACCCCATATGGCCCCCCTCCAAGTCCCACCAGATGTGAAGGTGTGATCTCTGAGCACAGAGCCAGGAGTAAGCTTTGAGCAAGGAGAGGCGAGGGGAGGGAGAGGAGAGGAAAGGAAGGGAGAGGAAAGTAAAGGAGAGGTTAAAAGACAGAACAGAGTAATACACATTTAATTAATTTTAAGAAGATAAAAAAAAAACAGGGAGAAACTATACACAAAAAGTCAATGACTGACTAGTTTTCAAATTCACTGGAAACTAAAAAAAAAAATCTCAAAGCAGGAAACCTACCCTCGAACCCTAGGCCAAGCAAATGCAGACAAGTACTTAATGTGTCCTGAGAGAAAGGGCAAATCACCTGTGCAAGGACAGAAAGGTGGACAGCTGACCTCTCCACAGAACGAAGACACGCCAGAGACTGGTCTGTCTTCAATGACCTGGCAGAAGCTAATGTCAGCTTAGGACTCTATACTCAATAAAACTGTCTCTCAAAAACTTATGTGACATGAAAGTTTTTAAATGAAATATGAAAAAGTCGATACTTCCATCAAAAAGATATTCTGAAACAGGCACTGGGGTGGGGGTGTGTCAAGCTCAGCGCCTGATACACATTGATTCAATCTTGACAATCACCCCTTTCAAGGCAGGTGCTGTTAGTATAATGAAAGGTCAGTCTTTGAATCCCAGAAGTCTGAACAGCTCAAGTTCCTAACCGTCCGTCACACAACCTAATGTGGGGTGAAAAGACTGGAGAAAAAGTCCCCAAGTGCCCAGGTTTCCTTGTTACCAGTTGATGGAAGGAACTGAAAACTTTGTTATTCCAATAAAATTCCATTAAGCAGCGACACAACCATAGCTGCACACAGTGAGACTCTGTGCCTGCAGCTTCAAGGCTGCAAAGAGTGGCCAGCAGCTCTCTTAGCCCACTTCTCCCTACACATCTCGGGGCACTAGACAGGACCTTAAATTCCAAATCATCTCCTTGAGGACACTGTCAGGTTACCACAAACACAGAAACCAAAATGGAGGTTTTGAGTTTCTGCGGAGCTAGGCTACGGGAGAGTAAAATTCACACAACACCACGCAAATCCTAAAATGGTGTGGCGACATTTCAAGAACAGAAAATACCCTCACTCTCACTTTCTGGAATTTAAAATAATTCCAGGTGGTCCTGCCTTTCAGTTAATGGAAGAAGAAAAAGGTACTTCTCTCGGTAATGGCTTCATTTCGAGACCACTCTGGATGCTAAAAAAATGCATGCATGTAATAAGAGTTCTAAAGACCTATATTTAAGACACAGACTAATACATTCTCTAATTTTAAATTTCAAATCACTGTGGGGTTACCCACCCCCCTCACCCGCCACTCCCCCGCCAAAAACCCAAATACACTTAATGGGAGCAGAAATATAAAATGCAAGAACTAAAATGATCCCAGATGCTTGGGACTGAAATCACCTCAAATTTTTTTTGACAAGTTAATGGAATAAAATTTCTGGCTTTCTTATTTGAGTGCTTATGGCTTCCATGTACTTTTACTTATTTATTTTTTACTTACTCCTTGCACTCTTTAGACACATGGGATGGTACCGTATATTTGCAATCCATGATCATGGTCAGTGTCTCGCTGTCATTGGCCTCTTGAAAGGGCGGCTGCCCACACACCAGCATGAACAGGATCACTCCCAGGCTCCATATATCTAAAAATCAAAGACGCACACTGTTAAATACTGGACTAGTTAGGAAGCCAAAGACATTAAGAGGAGTAAAACAGACTCATAATATTTTACTTTGAATAATCACAAGCATTTACATCTCAAAGCAAAACATTTATGCAAGAAACTTAAACTTAAGTCCCTATAAGGCAGGGAAAATATCTGGTTTGTTCAGTGTTTTTGTATTCACTTAAAGTCCTATTAAGTGCCAGCCAGGCACATAGTGAGTGGTCAAAAATAGGGACTCGAGAGAATAATGTGTTCATTTGGTAAAAGCAAGAACATCAACCAGAGAGTCCTCATTAAGATTCCCCAAACATTGGGCAACACTGCTTTTCTTCCCATTATATTATACAACATGAGAGATTAAGAAATGAGATATGCAGAGTATTTGCCAAAAGCCACCATTATCTTGGTTGTTCTTCACATCAATCCAGGTAAGAAAAAGCAGATGAAGTTATGATGATATGATAGTTAAGAAAATAAAGCTCAGGGGCTGGAGCAATAGCACAGCGGGTAGGGCGTTTGCCTTGCATGTGGTCGACCGAGGTTCGATTCCCAGCATCCCATATGGTCCACCAAGCACCGCCAGGAGTGATTCCTGAGTGCATGAACCAGGAGTAACTCCTGTGCATCACCAGGTGTGACCCAGAAAAAAAAAAAAGAAAAGAAAAAAGAAATTAAAGCTCAGAGAGATTTCAGAGGAAAGAACTAGGGAAAAAAGGTAAAAGCAACCTAGAGGCACACATTTGCATGAAAAATAGTACAAATTACTTAATAAAGCTGCTGAAGTATGGGAAAGGGTGGTAAGTTTCCTATCATAGTTAAGTATTCCAGCAAAGGCTGGGCAACCGTTTTTCCAGTATTCTGCATAAGGCATTCTGTTACCAGCTGTAAGACTGAACTAGCTAAACCATGAGGACAGACATTAGACTAACTCCTATAAATAAAACCCCCTATGATTTCCTGCCACTAAATAAAAACCGCAAATCAGATGGGGGGGGAAATTAGATGAAAAGGATGAACCTCTCAGAAAGAACACATGTCCTTCATTCATTCCAGAAGCTTAACTAAAAATGTGATTATATAACTCTTATAAAGGATCACTTTGTGACACCTTTTAGACCACAAAACATTAGAGGAGACAGGAAGGGCAAGTTAATATGCATACTTATCATTTAGACAAAACACCCCAAATCACATCAATTATGTTATTTTCAAAGCAAATTAAAACTTGTTAATTTTACTTTTCCTGGTTTAAACTAAACAAAGAAGGAAAGAAAGGAAGAAACCCAAAGTCAAATGCACTGCGTTTTTTAGATGTATCATAAATATTTACTAAGAATGTTCCCATGGAAATTAGTGAAGCAGATGGAAAAATCCAATAAATTAATGCACATACATCAATGAGGTGAAAGAGACAGAGAGGTCACTCAGTCTAAACCCTGGGCTCTTTAGGGTCTCAGAGTTGGGTCATGGATGCTTAACAAGTTGGCTCTCAACTCCAGAGAGCAACCATACAACTAATAACCTAAATTTCTTGAAGAAAACTTTCTTTTCTGTCATATAAACAGCAACAAGAAAATCCAATTATTTAAAATGTGATAGTACAGAGGATAAGGCACTTGTCTCGCATGCATCCAACCAGGTTCCATCCCAGGCACCCCATCCAGTCCTCCAAGTCTGCCAGGACTGATCCTTGGGTGTTGCAGAGCCAGGAGTGAACCCTGAGCACAGCCAGGTGTGGCCCCCAAATGAAAAAACATTTATTTAATGTAATGTTTTCTTCAGGATCATTTGCCCAGGCAAACTAACACATTTTGCTTGTTAGGATGAGGTGCACAACGGGAAGCGTAGGAACGAAAAATAAAATACACACATATGGACTCTGTTTCCACAATTTCCTAATCAGGCTCAAATAATCGCTGAATATAGCTAATGCTCAGAAGTTGACGCTTAGAAATATAATTCTATGCCAAGCAGTTTGCAAAGGTAAACGACATGATTTGCAGCATTTCAGCGAAAAAAGGGCAGAATAATTAAGGAAGCAAAGTCTTAGAAAGGGCAAAGGATCCTCTCAGGAGTCAACATGCTCGTTCAAGGGTGGTTTATTCCACTACTTCTTCCCTCCCACTTTCTGTGTTTAAATCTCTTTACTTTTTCATCCTCAAAGTCAAAGGAAAGAGAAAACAGCACTTAATGCGAGGAAAGGTGTAGCCAAGTTATTTAAAAATGGGTTCCCCATCTTTAAAATGGGCTGGAGCATAGCACAGTGGTAGGGTGTTCGCCTTGCGCATGGCTGGCTTGGCCGAGCCAGGTTCTATTCCTCTGCCCCTCTCGGGGAGCCCGGCAAGCTACCAAGAGTATCTCACCCACGCAGCACAGAAACCCTGGCAAGCTACCCGTGACGTATTTGATATGCCAAACACAGTAACAACGAGTCTCACAATGGAGACGTTACTGGGCCCGCTCAAGCAAATCAAAGAACAATGGGAGGACAGTGACAGTGACATCATTAAAATGGGAAGCTGTGGTAGACATCAGAGAACTGAAACAGAATCAACGTTCAGTATCAGGTTGTAGCCTGGTGCCAGCAAAGCATCCTCGGAGGCTGTGCCAGGCCAAGTGAGGAGAGAGGAGCATGCAGTACTTAACTTTCCAGAGCTTCCAGATCATGGCAAAGGTGACTGCAGGTGGCAGGAACAAAAAGCAGCTAAGCTCCAGAAGGACTAACATAAACTGAGAAGGAAAACTAACAATGATGATAGGGAAGGACTGCTGGCAAGTCACATAAAAACGCGGTGGGAACGGTCACCTTCTTCACTCCCTTCACAAATGAGGCAAGAGTCATGGTACCTGTCTCCATACTCATGTTAGCCGATATTTTAAATTATCTTTTCCATTGAAAACAAAACAAGCCTCAACTTGCTAATAAAACAAAAACACATTCCCAAGCTGTAGCTCACAGTCTTAGTCTGAGCACCAGAGATCAACGACGTTGATCAAGCGGGAGGGAGACCTGGAAGTCTAAGATGAGAGCAGTATGGAATGGAGACTTTACACAATTTTCATTTAAAAAACTGTCATGGGGCTGGAGCGATAGCAGAGCGGGTAGGGTGTTTGCCTTGTACGCGGCAGACCTGGGTTCGATTCCCAGCATCCCATATGGTCCCCCGAGCACCGCCAGGAATAATTCCTGAGTGCAGAGCGAGGCAGGAGTAACTTATGTGCATCGCCGGGTGTCACCCAAAAAGCAAACAAGAAACAAACAAACAAACAAACAAAAACCTGTCACATTAAACAAGGTGGCCCAGAAAGAAGTTAACGGGCTGAGTGTGTGGCTGTGCATCAGGAAGCCCGATGGAGCTCCCACACAACTGAGAATGGGCCCCGAGCAGTGAGGACTGGCCCCCAAGCACAGAGCCAAGAACAGTCATCAAGCACCACCTGGTGTGGACCCAGACCCTATTAAACAAGGCAACACACATTAACCATCTGAAAAAAAGCAAAGCTCGACTCTGTTAACTACTATTTGTAGCATATGTTTTGATGTCAGCCCGTGATTTATAGAAACAGAAAAAGAAAACATCACTCAATAGTTCTTTGGCTAAGTACCCCCCATCACCACCACCCTACGAAATTATGAGAAGGAAAGATAACGAAGCTTTTGTTAGCATAAAGGGTGGGAGTTACTGGTCCCCTTTCCTAGCCACTTTCTAGTAGGGAAGAAATGACGTCACAAAAAGGTGCCCTAGTCTTATCTACTGGTCAGTGGAGTCAATTTCTCATACACAACTGGATTGGGCTATATCCAGAGCTGGAGCTGGAGTTTATATTACAAAATTCATCTTAGGAAGGCAGGCAGGCAAACAAAAGACCAAAATGGGATAAATGAATATGCTAATGATTAATTTGATAAAAAATAATGGCCAAAGGGGTGGGGTGGGAATATCATGATTACGAAGAACTTTTCTAAAAAAAAAAATCATTCTGAAAAGAATAATCTAGGTGACAAAAGAACAGGAATCACAAAGTACTAAGAATAGAAAACCATGAGGACTGTTTTAGGTAGAAACCTCTATGTTCTCCTCTGACTTTTATCACTTTAACCATGAGTCATGAGAGCAGCAAAGGAAAGAGAACGTGCTAAAACTACTACAGATGAAGTAGAAACTAGCACCTTTTACTATTTCACTTACAACTGGCAGGATCTATGCCACCACTTTTCAGTTCCAACTGTGGTCACCAGCCACCGGCATATGACCCACCGCCAACGTAAGAAGCAACGCTTTCTGAGAATAGAAAGAACTGCTGCAGAAAAGTGTGGGTCCCAGGGCTCAACAATAAAATGCAGGGCCTTCGTTTCTTGTGTAACATTCATAAACCTAATCACTTCAGTCTACTGATCTGAATTTCTTTATACAGTAAGAACCACTCAGTTGCATTCTAATCACCCAGAGCTCTAGAAGGGAATTTCCTTGATCCAAATGAGATGAGTGATTGATTCTCAGAAACTGCCCAGAGACGGGTCCGAGAGGGGAAACTGTCAGGACACTGAAGGATGGAGGGAAGGCAGGAGAGAAATGGAATATGTGGACAAGTTCCTATTTCCAGATTATCTCCATTAATTCTGGTTTTATCACGACTCTATTTAACAAGAAATCATTTTTTTTCCTTAAATAACAACAACAACAAAAAAATTAAGAAGGAATGCCATCTTCTCATCCCTACTGCAAGAAACTTCTTTCCCAGATTTGAAAACATCTAAATGTCCCTTGAGGACTCCCAAGGTCAAAGCTGCCCCAAGCTGATCACCTTTCATCCAAACCTACATGAGCCTGTGTATGTTTTGACCACCTGGTCAAGGGCACCTCCACTCACCCAACTGAAACTTGGGAGGTCACCCACCCTGTGGGTGCTCTGACTGACAGGTCAGGGAGTGCCTTCCCATAAGGTCCTGTGCTTAGAGTCCTCAATGGCTCCAG